GGGACAGGATCTCCGCCAAGAACTCCCTGGAGTGCTACGCTTTCAACGCGAAGAGCTGCGTGGAGGATGACAGGCTGAAGGACAAACTGAGTGAGGAGGACAAGAAGAAGGTGGTGGACAAGTGTAAGGAGACCATCAGCTGGCTGGAGGACAACCAGCTGGCTGAGAAAGACGAGTACCAACACAAGCAGAAAGAGCTGGAGAACGTGTGCAGCCCCATCATCAGCAGCTTGTACCAGGGAGGGAGGCCCACTGGGACCTGTAGAGGGCAGGCCCCAGGAGGCCCCCAGGGGCCCACTATTGAGGAGATCCACTGACCTGGACCTGGACTCTGAGCTCCAGGGACTTTTGACTGAGATTCTTATTTTTGAAGTCTTGATATTTTACTGGTAAATAAAATTTCAGTTCTGTCTGAAGATTCATAACTGTAACTTTATTTTGAAATGCTCATGTTTACATTTTTACCTTTCAATGTAAAATCTGTTGTAAATATTTTTTTTTTTTTAGTTTTATTTTAGCTTTGCTAAACCGCAATAAAAACAAGGTTTGTGTTAAATGTTTTTTGTTGGTGTTTTAGAAATGGACACATAGTATGTGTATGTATATATATATATAATCTGTATTTATAAAGAAAACAAAATAAATATGTCTCATTGTCTCAATGTTTTTTTTTTTTTTTTTGTTCACTGTAAAAACATTTTTTCTGTTAACTTGGTCCTTGGGTTTCATTCTCCTTGGACACGAGAACAGGAAAGCCGAGACAAGAAGTTGGACACGTCTCTGCAGAGCAAGGTTTCTGTCAGCCAGTGGAGGTCAAAGGCCACAAGGTCCATTCAGAAGACGGAGACTGTAACTTTTTACTTTTCCTAATTTTATATAAAAATAAGGAAGTTGGAGTAAATGTCTTTTAATGTCCTCCCTGAGGCTTCCTGTGGTTCTTAACTGCAGTCCTCTTTATTCAGCTAGTGTTGAATCTTTAGCTACTTTTAGCTACTGTTTGGCTTCTTTTCGTTTCAGCTGCAGCAGTTTTGGATCCTGCTGGTATTAGGCAGCACGACGGCTCAGTGGTTAGCACTGTTGCCTCACAGCAAGAAGGCCCTGGGTTCAATCCCCGTGTAACACGGGTGAAAAGGCAAACCACCTGGTTACACCCGGTTGGACCTGGGGTCTTTCTGTGTTGAGTTGCATGTTCTTCTCGTGCTTGCGTGGGTTTTCTTCGGGTACTCCGGTTTCCTCCCACATAACAAAAACATGCATGTTAGGCTGATTCAGGCCCAGGCCTCCCTTACAAAACAGATCTGTGATCTCAGTGGGACTTGCTTGGTTAAAAAAATTTTTTTCTCATGTCTCTCCTGGGCCAGCCTCATATAACCAAAGTCCAGTTCTTCATGTTTGGATCCTGGAGCCACCAGCAGGAGGCAGCAGAGGTCCACCATCAGGTCCTCTGCAGACACCTACAGGTTCTGAGGACACCTTCAGGTCCTCTGAGGACACCATCAGGTCCACTGAGGACACCTTCAGGTCCTCTGAGGACACCATCAGGTCCTCTGAGGACACCAGAAGCTGTTACGTTTTGACAAAAGTCTCATCTTCAAACGTCTTAAAACGAGACTCTTAAATTTAATATTTTCTAAACTCGGGATCTGTTCCGTCCTGGAGAACACTGACAGGATTTACGGACAGGAAGGTGACCGCAGTACAGTGACCTCTGAGGTCCAAACTACCAATTGCACCTAATTGGAACGCAACGCCTCCACACCTGGGAGGAGGAGGAGCTTCTCTCATGAGCTTCCACAGAACCACACCCTGACCACTTCAGGTGTCACCTTGAGACTCTGTTAAAGTCACTTTCTCGGGATCCATGGAGCTTACATAACCAGCCTCTCCTTCCTCCTCCACCTCCTCTGCAGAGGAGGCGCCGGTGATTTTAGAATCCCCCACACCCCCGGTTGCTTAGCAACAGCCGCCAAGTCTCCCCGCCGCCGAGAAAGAGAAGTGTTGGTTTGTTGTGAGTCCAGGAGGAGCGGAGGTCCTGAGGAGGAGGTGAGTTTGTGTTCGTGTGGCGGTTCATCAGTTTCAGGATGTTTCAGATCTTCAAACTTCTGAAGTTTCAGCTGCAGGTGAGAAGAAAAACACTTCAAAATAAAACACAAGGACATTGGTTTTAAAGTTGGACACTTTTCAAAACAAAACACTAGGATGTTTAAGGACACTTAAAGATCATCCATCGTCCATCCATCCATCATCCAGTATCCATCCATCACCCATCCATCTGTCCATCATTCAATTTGATTCAATTCAGAAATACTTGATTGATCCCAAAGGGAAATTAAATGTTGGTGTAACTCGTTATCCACGTTTCATTAAGAGATGTTATAGATACTGATGGTTGTGGGCAGGAAGGATCTCTTGTCAAGGTCTGTCCCACAGTGGATCTGAAGAAACAGGTCACATATGCCGTCCGATCCGTCCACCCAGACTCAGCTGGTCTCTCGTTTCCCCTGGGCTGCAGGATCGTCCGAATGCCAGGCAGAACTCCTCCCAGAATGATGGCCACTCCTCCCTGCAGCGCTCCTCGTCGCTGCGGACAGCCAGCTGCAGGTGCAGAGGGACGATCCTGGTCCTTCTGCTGTCATGAGCTGCGTTTCCCGCTAGTTCCAGGATCTCAGTGGTCAGGCACTCGAGCACAACTGGCAGGGAGACGGGAATGCATCCACGAAACCTCCTTTTCAACTCATTTAAGATTTGGGCCTGTAGTTGAGATATTATTTGAGCTTTGAGATGTTAATCAGCAGCTCCCGGTTGTAAAAACCATCTTGTTGTCATGGTCATAACAATTGTCCAAAAGTAAAAAGGTTTCAGTAAAAATCCTTCCAGCTGCACAGCGTCCGATACCAGAGGAAACAATCATCACAAACATGTGATTTACATCCAACAAAAGAGGAATTAAAGTTTCCAAAAGCAACAGCTCAGAATGAGAGTAACAGCTGCTCCAACATGCAGCCACCCTGAGAGGCACAATACTGAGCATCTGTCAGATGGTCAGAATCATCCATCCATCATCCATCCATCCATCCATCCATTTTCCATTCATCCATCTTCCATCCATCTTCCATCAATTCATCCATTCATCCATCCATCATCTATCCATCCATCCATCTTCCATCCATCCATCTTCCATCCATCCATCCATTTTCCATTCATCCATCTTCCATCCATCTTCCATCAATTCATCCATTCATCCATCCATCCATCTCCCATCCATCCATCATCTATCTATCCATCCATCTTCCATCCATCCATCTTCCATCCATCCATCATCCATCCACCCATCTTCTTTCATCCATCCATCATCATCCATCCATCTTACATCCATCCATCCTCCATCCATCCATCTTCCATCCATCATCCATCCATCTTCCATCCATC